TATTCTTAGATTTCATAACGAAATACGCCCTGTGCATTGCAACAGTCGCCTAAGAACTTTTATTCGTACGACTGAAGAAAGGCAAGAGAACAATTATAAATACATATTCAAATATTATATATTTGAATGAATGACAAAAACTTTTTTTTATGAATGAGAGAATCGAGTGCTGGGTAGAAAAATTTGGGCTAAACGTAACAGTGCTGGGAACAAAATTAAGTCAGCATTCCTGGCAAGCGGCCTATCCTAAATATCTATTAGTAACAGTCAGTAGCAATATTATAATTCTCTATGCCATATATTTCACGAAATAAATCTACAAGTATGTAAAGTATGTAGTTGTGTTAGGAGAAGTAAACGAGGAACAAAATCTAATTGAGGGAAAGCATTTTTCTACCTGATAGTGTCAGATAGAGGTCATATATGGTTCCTCGTCTTACGGGCGGTAAACGCTTGCTGCGCTGGCTGTTCAAAGCCATGGCAACATCAGCTTCCAAGTATCGCCACTGCTACAACGTTCTATCAGTTATGTCATATTTCTTACTTTCGTTATAAAAAAAAATTTCTGTACAGGATATTAAAATACATGGTTCAAGACTGATAGATACATTTAATGCTCAAAAATTGAGTAAAGAATATTCAATCGAAAAATAAACTTTCTTAATGTTATGTATTTTCTCTACTCTTTAGATATAAACATTATCTTATCAGATAAGATAATCTTTTCCTCACAGTACTGAACAAATTTATATTCACTCTGTAAATAAACAATTTGAGATCGTTAAGTGCAAACGAAAATAAGGACAAATGGCCAGTTATAAATAGATTAAAAATCTCAATTCGGAAGTAAAAAAAATTATCACCACTCCATGATGAAGTAATTTGAATTAATGGACGTTTCGGCAATACTAACAATAAGCATTCCTAAACATACAACGGTCGAATAAACTATAGAAAGACCAAATGAAAATCATATCTTTGATTATATAAGTATTTATATAGTAATTTCATTATATATAAGTAATTTATAGTAAACATATGACGTGGTGACAATACAATCAAGAAATAGTAATTGAACACCGTGAAAACATAAATTATAAACAAAGATAAAATCTAATAAATATAAGAAAATCATAACTAAGGTCATGACTTTGATAACAAGTCCTTTACATAAAATCCGAATCATTCTATAAACTTGAACACGTTAACTCGATTCTATGCATCCTATAAATTGCTTTATTGATACAAAAATGTTTATCAATATAAAATTAATGTCCGACAAAAATGTATTTTGTTATATAAACTTTAAGATTAACAGTACACTGCTATTTTTCACATTTACGTGACAACTAATATTTTTATCTATGGATAATTATAATTATAGTGGCATTAACTCTTAATAAAAACAAGTCACACTTATTTTATTAAAACAGAAAATTATTTTTAATTTGAATAAGATCAATTTTTTGCACACACACTGTATAAAATATTTTTTACTTAGTTTATAAGCATTATATTCCTTAAGTCTTGAACTTATTTCTTTAACATCCTGCATTTTATTGTTTCATGTTTTACTTTAGTTTTACTTTAGTTTTAAGTTTTATCACGTAACGATTGATACGCCAAGTGTTATTAAGTTTTTCAGATTTGTTGCAATTCTCTAATGAAAAACATGTTAGTTACTTTTTCTTTCTCTCTGAGAATTGATAAGTTGCCATTTGATTTATCTTTATGTTTCTTAAGAGATTTTGATAAAAACCCTGCCTAGAAAGACGAGTGGTGTTTATCAAAAGCACTAGCATTTGCTTTGCAACAGATATTTCCTGTCAACCTTAACAAATTATTTATAAAGTTCATTACATACCTCAAAAGTTAAGAGTGCCTCCTGGTCGTCCTGCTTGTAATACTCGATGTTTAATGTAATTAGACCCTCTGTGTACCCTCTGACAGTGATTAGACTGCCCCTGGGTCCGGTATATAAAACGAGCAAACTGCCGTCGATGTTAGATTCTGTCAGTGGCTTGAGACCGGTGAAATGTTCTGCCAGTACGTTTGCAATCGCTGATTTCAAACCCGATCGTTTCTCCATATCGGCGATCACGCTGCTGGACACTGTGAAGTCCAGGAGTACGGTATGGGCCACCATTGCTTCTGCAATGTACGAACATAGATATTTATAGGATGAAAAGTCAATCCGAAGAGAGACACGTCAATTTGCCTTATACACTTAATTGTTCAAGGCCTTGTCACGCGGGCGATAAATCGTGTGCTATTAACGAGTCACAAGCTACGCGAAATTTCAACGAGTGAAGTAATCCTTTTTTTTCTTTTTTTTTTTAAAGTTATATACTTTACACGTTCGGGTGAAAAGAATAGCAGCCAACGGCGGTGGCATGAAATGTCCTTAATGTCGTCAACGCTCAGGGAAAACACATTACATAATTAATCCCATAGAAAATAGGAGCGTTGCCAGTGTTGGCGTAGTGCGATAAGTAACGTAACATCGAGTAGCCATCGATATTCAGTAAATTAACGGATGATTCATTAGCCGCCGGTCATTAACTTGTTTATACTCACGTAATTGTGCGATAATGTTTATTGCTCGGTCCGATCAGAAGCACGTCAATGTGTTGCTCCCAGCGTGAAAGAATGACGCATGCACACACTGGCACAAAATTATGCGCAGGTTATCGGATGCGCACGAGGATTTCGCGTGACGGAACTTCTCGTCTATCTGACGAAAACTGCCGAAAATCAACGAACCGTTTCGATTCTCTTCCGACTGCTGATACAAATCGATGTTGCGATATCTCGAAGCTTGATCGATTTAGGACCAATAGCTACGTTTAGGCCGGAATCAGACTAGGCATTAAAGATTGAGATTGAAGATTGAAAGATTGAAATTTGATCAATCAAAACAATAGGAGCTAAAATTCCTTTGCCCTCATTGGTCAAATTTCAATCTTCAATCTTCGATCTCAATCTTCAATGCGTAGTCTGATTCCAGCCTTACACCGTGCGCTTAGTCCGCGACCTATACGATAAGTGTCTTTGTTTAACCTACAAGATAAACAAGGACATCTATTGTATAGGCCGCGGCCTAAATGCACGGTGTAAACGTAGCCACTGTCACCAAGCTCAATTAACTAGTGCGGGGTCTACAATAGAAGTCGTAGAGGTTGTAGGGTCTTATGCGGGGTCTACTGTCTACGGCTGGTTCTACATTAGTCGCATTGCAACGTCGCAAGCGTTGCAGTTCAATCAACGTCAAGCTAGCTCGACTCTGATTGGACTATAACGCTTGCGACATTGTGATGCGACTAATGTAGAACCACAGCTTATAATAGAAGTCGTAGAGGTCGTAGGGTCTTATGCGGGGTCTACAATAAGAAGTCGTAACGGTCGTAGGATCTTAAATCGTAGAAAATTAACCAATCATAGTCGAATACGAGAATAATCGACTCTGATTGGTCAATTTTCTACGACTTAAGACCCTAGGACCGCTACGACTTCTATTGTAGACCTCACATTACCCTGGATCTACAATAGAGTTTTAAGCGTTAAACCATAAGAAATGGACGAATCATAGTCGATTATTCTCCTCGAATTCGACTGTAATTGGTCAATCTCTTACGACTTAAGGCTTAAAACACCTATTGTAGATCCGGACTTAAGGGCCATTGTCACTAAGCTCAGTTAACTTAACTGGCCAGTAAAGGCCATCACACGTACAAAAATTTTAGTGGGAATCGTAAGGTCGCAAACAAATCGACCAATCACAATCAAAATTGAGATCTCGAGTTTTTAAACACTCGACTGTGATTGGCCGATTTGCTTATGGCCTTATGATTACAACTAAAATTTTTGTACGTGCGATGGCCTTTACTGGCCAGTTAAGTTAACTGAGCTTAGTGACAATGGCCCTTAAGTCCGGATCTACAATAGGTGTTTTAAGCCTTAAGTCGTAAGAGATTGACCAATTACAGTCGAATTCGAGGAGAATAATCGACTATGATTCGTCCATTTCTTATGGTTTAACGCTTAAAACTCTATTGTAAATCCGGGATAAGTCGTAATCACACTACAGGCTCTCGACTCTGACTCGACTGCCAACTCTGACTGCCGGCCTATAATGGACCAATAATAATGAGACTGATTTATTGTTATTGGTGCATTATGGGTCGGCAGTCAAGAGTTGGCAGTCAAGTCAGAGTCGGGAGCCTGTAGTGTGATTACAACTTTAGGTTGCGGTCAACTTGACGCTACAAACGCTTCGAAGCGTTTGAGCGACCAATCAGAACAAAGAATTTTATGAATTGACTAATCAAAAAATGCTTCCGCAGCCATAAACGCGCGGAAAAAAACGTACGTAGTGTGTCTCAAAATCATTACAAATTCATTACATTATAGGCCGGTCGGTTTTTATTTCAAAACCGTCTAAGTAATGTCTTGAGATGCTAATGCCCTCCGATTGATTCATCCCAGGTAGCAAACACACGTCATTTTGACGTCAGCTTGCTATCAGAGATGACACCTCAAGACTGAACTTAAGACGATTTCTCTGACATAAGGACTATAAATACCAGCTATAATTGTAATATCGAACATCAATTTAACTGCCATATGCGATAAATTTTTCAATCGTTGTATCATGATATAAGAATACATTACGAGTTGCATGATATTAACGATAAAAAAGAACCTGTTAAATTGTTTTTATTTCTGAGTAATGAATGCTAACGATAATAACATGAGGCTAAACTTTTTTTAAACGTCACTATATCGCAGATGCGAATATGAAAAAGTTATCATGTAAGTTAATCATGTAAGAAAAGATGCAGAATATGAAAATAAAAGATTTAAGCAATAAATTTATTTTAACAGTCATTGAAACTTATCCAATTAAAAAACATTCATTTTTTACTATAACATGATATATACTTTCTCATATGCTTTATAAAAACACTAACATACTTTATATACATATGTATGTACGGTGAAATGTCTACTTAATATAAAATATAAACAATTTGTATATATAAAACCAAAAACATTGTACAAGACTTTACATCCTCCATTGTGTTACAAGATTAATCGTAAAAAAGCAATTAACTATAATATAAATTAGAAAATGTATCCTATAGATGTATTTGAAGACGCTGCGTGATATCGGTGGCGTTATAACTACTCCTCCGTGTAATTATATTCCTGCAACAATATACGCATTTCTTTTTTTCGTTTTTCTCCTTCAAATGATATCCGATAGGATTGTTTTGTTACTAATCGACGCATAGAAAAGAACACGCAGTGATATTACTTGAAATTGTATTTTAAATCTCTATCAAAACATTCAAATATCATCCACAAAAGTTAAACAATTTCTAAAAGGCAATCATTTATAGCTGTACACAATACACGCAGTTCCATTTTATCTTAATTATGAATCAATATTAAATTATATTAACGTCCTCCGAAAATTTATATGTTATTTTGAATCATGATCATTTTTGAGGTCTTTCTTTGCTCTTCCTATGCCATCCTGCGCACAACTAAGCCACTATTTATGCAAATATATTTTATTCACATAATTTTACAATGATAATAAACTACTTTATTAGCCCATTTACATTTACGTATAACATGAAATGAGTTATATGCGATTTAATATCATTTTTGTACCTTCATTGCAGCTTTGATTCCAAATGTGGTGAGCACCCCGAGACCGAACGTAAGTAGGTACGGTATATACTTTAAAAGGGGCACACTAGGTCTTCTTTCGATCAAATATTTGAGCAACTTCAAGTTTGCATCGGAATAAGGTGGGAAACGCGCCCTGAAAAACATATTTTCTGCTTAAAATTAAAATATTAACTGAAATATTAATATTAAAATGTGTTCATAACTTAAAATATAGAATTATCTTGTTATATTAAAAAGAATTTATTTACTTGGCCACGATTTCTGCAATTTTGTTATAATTCCGAATCAAACAACCTTTCTTATGCGTGAATGTGTCGAACGTGAATTTTCCATGGTAGGCTCCCATACCAGAATTACCTACTCCTCCAAAAGGTAAACTTTCAACTGAGAAAATAATATACATTAATAATGCATGGAATTATGTAACAAAGAGAAAACAATAATTTAATATTAATGCTGGTTATATAAACACTTTATTATCGCTTTTAGCTTTGATAATTTTTTTTTATTATTGTAATCAATTTGGATTGAAGATTTTATGTTAATAGTTCTAAATTATAAATAAAGCAATAATTAAATGTTACAAATATTAACAATAACAATATTAAAAATGTATACAAAATTCCTTATTAGATTCAAAAGAATTTAATGAGGAATAAGAGTATGTTTTTAATAAATGTTAATGCAATAATTTTTAAATAATAAAAATAATTAAAATCGATCGTTAAACTCCCATTTCCATACAGATTTAAAGATATAGCAATAGTGTGTATATCATTAACAACACATTTATACATATACTGTGTCCTTAATATCCATCTATAGGCGAGTGCTCAATTCCATTACTATTTCTTAAATTATTTTAAAATCAACGGAGAATGTAGATTTTCCGCAAAATATAATACAATTAAACAATAGAATAAAAATAAAAACATGTATTGCAGAATACTACTCATTCAACATTTAGTGACCCAATCTAAAGAAAGCACCACATCTAATACACTCTCCGTTAGTAGAAACAACGTAACAATTAGCACAATGTTGTTTGATAAAAAAAGAAGAAATATATAGTTAAATAAACAGAAAGAAACTTTTTATAACATTACTAGAAAAACTACCTGCTCCTTGTAATATCGTATCATTGATACAAACGTTGCCACTAGACGTATTATTAATCAACAAAGATATAGTTCCTTTATCCAGGCTAAATAAATACAACGATAATGGCTTCTTCCTGTATGTTAAAAAACCAATGTAAGAACATCAGTATCATTTCTTTTTGTGAAATGTGTATTTATACGCGTGAGTGTGTGAATGCACACGCGCATGTACATGAAGTATATACACGCGTGTTTGCACGTGCATTCGCGCGTTACTAGTAATAATGAATACTGGAAAACACATTATAATTGCAGATCATCAAGTTTATCATTAATGATATGTGATTAGCTTTTCTTTGTAATGTCAATATCATGTTAGTACTTGGGGATTTATAATTCTACAACCACCACCATTTTCAGGTACGTACATTCTATTTGTACAGTATGTTTTATTAGTTTAATAGTATATATAATATAATAATATAATTATTATATTATATATTTAAAACGTACTCAAAGTAAAAAATAGAAATAATTTATATATGAATTTATATATAGGAATAATTTAAATATGAAGTTTACATATGATAGTATGAAATCTATCTTATATCATGAAAGGAAGATACAAATTCTTCTACTTTTTCTTCACCAGTCATTACCTAATCAACCTAAACCAACCTAAACCAGAAAAAGGAAATGCGCATGCAATACGTTTTAATTAAAGAAAATCCTTCACAAGCTAATAAAATAACATTATACCTAAAAACAAAATGCTTCCTTACAAATAGAATTAAAAAATCAATTTGTACATCTATCCAATCGCATTTGCAGTATCTACATTTTTTTGCGAAAGATAAAAAGAGCTTTTCTGTCAATTTCGATAGACTAAATATTAAAAAAACAAATAATATAAAAAAACCAAATAGCGTTGTAAACCTGAATCGTAAAACAAAAAAATTGTAGAGACTTGTTAGTTTCTATATCAAAGTAAATAATAAATAAAAAATATAAATAATAAATAAATAATAAATAAATAAATATAATAGTTTCGCTACCTAAAATCCGGACTCACCGGCATATTGCAATATCGTGTCGTTGACACATACGGCTCCGCTGCTGACCTGGTCTATAATTAGATCTTGTACCCGCTTGCTCGTGGAAAATACGTATAGTACAAGTGGGTTTTCACTAGATATGAAAAACTAATTACTTTGTGCCGTTCCCTCGTACAATAGTGAAATCGTGAAGTGAAATACGAATGAATGAGAGATTACAGGTAAAAGTTTACCTCACGGTATGTTTTCGATTATATTTGCGCGGAGAATAAAATTTTCTGTGAGCGAGAGATTATAAAAAATTCGAATGAATGAAAATGTTCTGATTATAAAAAATTAAAAAATTAAAAAAGGAAATATGCAATATTTGCGGAGGGAATAATTGCATGTATTCATTTTCATAATCACTTAATATCGCTATTAAATAACGTACCGACTGTTGATGAAATTAATTGCTTCGTATGCATTATTAATGTTTATTATAGGCAATAACGGTCCAAATATCTCCTCTTGCATGATCGAATCTGTTGGTTTGACATTAACTAGTACTGTAGGCGAAATAAATTTTTCTGCAGGATTTACGTCACCACCAACAGCAATTTTGCTTTTATCACTTAAATAATTGACAAGCCGCCTAAATACAGGGAAAACAATTGTTATTTCATATAACAAATCAAACTAACCAAGACTCCTTATAAATCAAAAGAACTAAGAAAGAAACATGGGCAACAGGAGTCAAGCGCGGAAGACGTTGCGCAAATTATTTGCGCAATAATTTGCGTCAATAATTTGCGCAACGTCTTCCGCGCTTGACTCCTGTTGTCCATGTTTCTTTCTTAGTACAATTGTTATTGTTTAATTTATCAAATTGTAAACTATTTTAAAAATTGCAACCAATATCGTTATTATAAACGATTATATTAAATATTTACTTACTGATAATGTTTGTCGGAAATAATGCGTGCCAAATCGGGACTCTCCCGTGGATTGTCACTGTACCATTCATGTAAAATCTTTTTAGCTTCCTCAATAAATTTTTTCTGTACCTCGAGTGTACATAACATATAATCGGGTGCGATACAAGTTTGACCAACATTGATGCATTTACCCCATAAAATGCGTTTTGCTGCCATTGATATATCTACTGTGTTATCTATATACACGGGACTGCAAATCAGTGTTATTTAGTGCAATTCTATTCGAAAAAAAAATTTTTGGGGAATATAAATAATTGCATTTTATACGTATTTAGATATTTTGAAGATACCTCTTTCCACCCAACTCTAATGTAACAGGTGTGAGAAACTCATTAGCAGCTTTCCGTACGATTTTTCCAACCTCAGAGGATCCAGTATAAAAAATATAATCAAAACGTTGCTTGAGTAGCTCTCTCGTTTCTGAGATGCCTCCCAGTATTACACGGCAACTATCCTGTTTACAACAAACATGAATCATATCATTATTTTTTCCAATGAGAACATGTATATAAAGGCAATTTCATCTTATTAACAATGTTAATATATTCCTGGAATACAAATCATAGTGTTTTTCAAACTGATACATTGGGATGTAATTATAGAGAAGGAAAAGATAAACTTCTCCTTCATTCTTCAATGCACAGTTATTATGTGTCATTACGCAACAAAATGCTTTAAATAGAATTCAATTCAAGAATTCAATTTCATGATCTATCTCCTTTAATTTAAGAAATAAAAGAACAACGCAATTTATGATGGAATATTCTAGGAAAGGATATTGCAAATACACGAATATAAAAAATTGCTATAGTGTTAAAATTTTCATAAAACTTAAATAATTATTTTCGTGCTTTTCTATTAACAGCAGTTTGTAAAATGTAAGGATTTAAAATAAAATATTTAAAATCAAGATTTAAAATCAATGTTTAAGTTGTAATATATGTTGTAATCATATATCTATGATCCATAAAGATATGCTAATAAACTAAGATATGCTAATGAATTAGCATACATAAATAAACATATAATTTTAGCATGTTTTATCCAATATCATTTATATTATCATTAAGTGTGATTTAATTTAGTCAAGTCAATTTACATTTCATAAAATGCTGCTGTGTCTGTATGGAATAAAACTTATAAATACATATTACTTAATATTTTTTTTAGCTAAAAAAAAAGCTTTTTTTAGTTATATCTTAATTCATGAATTTTGGGTCTTGGGATAATTATAATATAAACAAATATTTTCGTACCGTGTCTAAATATTTTGGAATGGTCTCGTATAAAAATTTCGTCGTAGTCGTTGCAATTTCGGACGGTTTTAGAATCACGCAATTTCCAGCTGCAATAGCGCCCATCATAGGTAGTATACATAGTTGAAGAGGATAATTCCATGCACCAATGACTAATACAACTCCATAAGGATCTTTCCGGATTTCTATTGTATCGAAAAAGTGCGCAAGTGACTTGGTCGGCTGTAAAATATTGCAAGTTTCAGTATTTACACTCTGGATTATTAAAGTTATTTAATGAATAAAAAAAATCTATTATATAATAAAAAATCGTATTTAGATTATACCTTTTCTGTTGCTGCCCATTCTTTAATATTCATGAGCATGTACCTAATCTCTTCGATTGTATAATCGATTTCCAATGCAAATGTTTCGAACTTGGACTAAAAAGTCAGCCAATACAGAACATTATTAAAAGTAATACGATTAGGTTAATAATGAATCTATTGTTTTTATAATCATAATCATACCCTATGTAAATCTGATGCAATTGCTGCTGTAAGTTCTGAAGCATTTTCCGTTAACATAAGTAGAAGCTGTTTCAATTGTTTGATTCTCCATTCTATCGGCCTTGTCTTTCCACTGTTAAACGTATCTCGTGACTGCTGAACTAACTGTAATTATTTTGATGTAAACAAGTCATTAATAATGTTTTCCTACACGAGAAAAAAGATATTGTGTAATTTGTTTAATATACTCTAAGTAATTAAATATGCAATATAAAAAAATGAAATTCTTATAAATCTAATTAATTTACTTACATCAGCATAATTTGTAGGCATTTGTTTATCATTTGTTTGTGCTGAAACAAAATATATTATTCAAGCTAAATAATCAACGATCTCTGATTTCAGTTGCTTATTATGGCATAAGACATAGGCTATCCGGCCAGGTTATACAGATCTTAATATAAATACTAAGAAAATTTATGTAAATTAAATCGATTTATACATCAAATTAACCTTCACATTCATTTTATTACAAGTGTAAAAAGTGATTAACTTATAGAAATAATAATAATTCATACAAAGCGTACAATTCCGTTTATAAGCACTTAAAATATGTTTATCTTAAATATATAAAAAGTCAAATTTCGAGATAAATTTTTAAACGCGTTTCTAGATCAAAAAGATGCAAATGACAGATACGAAATGTCGTATTATCATTTGTAAATTGTAATGTTGTTTTTGTTCGAGTAACAAATTAAATTTAGATTTAACTTTAAATAATTTAGGTCCGGTTGCACCAACGTTATTTTAATTTTAAGCGAGGCTTAAAACTCTCTCTGTCTCGTCCTCTATTTCGGCTTTAAAGAGAGAAAGAGTTTTAAACCTCGCTTAAAGTCAAAGTACGTTGGTACAATCGGGCCT